TGGACACAGGACTTGTGCAGTGCCTCCAATACTTGCTTCCACACATTCCTGCCTGGAGTTCCGCTGCAGTCTGCAGCCTCCACGGACAGAGGCAGGCAGGTGCCAGGAGCTCCTGTGTGCACACTGAGCAGGCAGCTAATGTGCCCATGGGAAAGGCCATAGGATCGATTCTTGAAAGAAAAAGATGTGCTAACTTCAGGGTCYACACAATCAGCTTACTTGATGTTTATCAAGCTCTTACTGAAAAGTTTCTGCACGTCTGCTTCATATGTGACCTGTTSCCAGACATGGTTGTAGGTATCATCATTTGAAATATATATAAAGCATGCTGTCAAAGATAGTGTGCACTGGGTTATTTGACTTCAGAGTATGCTCCTTTGTGGCCAGCTATGGACTTGTACTGGCTAGAGGCCATGGATAATAATAGCTTTCTGTCTRCAGGAGAGGAAACCAGGTGTGGACCCCCAGGACAGGTAGCAGGTAAAGTGGTCCAGCGTTGAGTCATTGGATGTTGAGATGAGAGACTGCAGGCAAGGCAGGTATCCAAAGAAAGTAGCAAGTGGCCTGAAACCCCAGAGAGCTGATGGGACTGGCTCTGAGCTTTGAGGGTGCCTGCAAATTGGGGGGCGGGAGGGACATTCCAGGGATGGGAGGGAGGAGAGAGCAAGGGGGTGGCAGGAATGGATTGGTGTTTGGGGAATATGGCAACCCAGGGGCTGGAGCCRAGAGCTGAGTTGAGAGTAAGGACTGGGGTGGGGGCAGCCCAGTCTGGGAAGAGRAGTGTGGGGGTGCTCTGGTAGTCAGATGGCTGAGTGTACGATTCCCAGCTGACATGCTGAGAATTGACATATAAGTTTATTTTTAATTACACTTTCAGAAAAGGGTAAGATCTCCCAGGGAAGACACAGGAGTAGAACTGGGGGGAGGGTRTCAGTATGAAAATTATATGAGTTCTTTAAATTTTTATCTGGTGGAATTCTTTATTAGTTCTTTTTTTTTTGTCATGGGATAACTTTTTTCATTTATATTTTTAAATAAAATATATTTTTAATTGAAAAAGAGCTTTCCTAGAACCTTGCCCAACCCCTCTCAGAGTTTGGTGGCTTTTATTGGGAGCCCCTCCTTGGTGTGCATGGCYATCTCACGCCCCCAGGACTGGGGATGTTCCATCCCAGGATGCTGTTTGGGGGGTTTCTGGGCTTGGGTCCCAGGGCCTCCACCAGCTGGAGGGCAGATGAGGTCCACTGGTATCCTCATAGGTGAGATATATTTCCAGGAAAGCACGATCATTTCCCATGTGCATGGGTCATCTTGGCTACAGGACGTGCTATGTGCAGAGCCATCTCTGTGCYATGGAGGTCATCCACCCACAGGCCCTGGGTTTCACAGCTGTCCTGGGGACACCAGCTCCTGAGCCTGGCCCCGGAGGCATTTTGCTCTTGGTACCCACAGCCCTTCTGTCTGCCACGTCTCCTTAGCAAGATGGAAAGAACGCTGGTGAGGAGACACTGGGCGAGGYCCTTCCTCTTCAGGGCACCATCCAGAAAGAGTGTGGAAGCTGTTACTGGGAGTGTGAGGATTTGGAATCCTCATCTGGCCCTGTAGCCGGCCGTCCCAGTCGGGATTCCCGAGGTCTTCCTCTGACATGGCTGGGCTGTGGCGGGTTCCTGTGGCTCTGCATGTGCTGTGGGCACRGAGGATCTTCTCATCCTGTACTCTTGGTCCACCCCGGTTCTGTGTTTAAATACAGCATGTTGYGGGCCGCATGTCAGTGTGTTGAAACTCCCAATCTGCAACCTTTGTTTTTGATTTGGAGTAATCAATCCCCAACTTCCTTTATCAATTCGAAAAGCTGGATTGTGAATGGARGTATAATTCATAGATGTTGAAGTGYACACATCCCAAGTGTACAGCTTCATCGGTTTTGAGAGACACTTCTCCTCTGTAGCCCAGCCCCCCAGATCGACGTTTCCTCCCGACACTGTGCCTTGGGTGAGCCTGGTGCTGCGGGTGTATTTCCTCCATCCTCTCCTGGAATCCGAGCCTCTGGGTCCCCTCAGCCCAGCAGCTCTGGTTTCTCTGTACAGAAATTTTGTACTAGATTTTCTTGTTTCCATCTGTAAAACAAGGGAAAGGACCRAAGCCCTGCTCTGGGGGTCCGTCTGCTTTACGTTTCCTGTGATCCTCTCCAGCAACAAAATGGTCACTTCTGACATAGACAGTGACTGCCAAAGGAAGCCTTGCACGGTCTGAAGAGGACACAATGCCATCTCAGCCTGTACTGGAAAGCGGTGTCCTTTAATGTRCCCAGAGACAGATATTTTTGCACTGCAGGAGTCGGTCTTTGGAAGTGCGTTGGGCTTTGTATTTTAAACTAATCGCAGCTGCCAGAATTAGCACGCTGGTTTCGTGATATTTAAAATCTTTACCTTGCTCATTTTGTTTTTTTTTGACGCTGTGTTAAGTTCTGTGGAGCAGAGTTTCATCACACCTCGCTTATTCGTAATTTGGGATAATTAATGTTGGGGCTGGGCTGCCAGTCACCTTTGCCACACCAATGCATGCTGCAAGAGGATGAGGGACTGGGGCCCTCGCACCCGAGAGGGTGAGGTTGTAGGTGTGTGTCCTTCTCCACTCTTGTCCCACCAGCCGCCTGCCAAGCTGTTGAAATCCCATGAACCCCGAGTCTCCTTTCAGCTCAGAAATTCTGAGATCTTGCCCGAGACATGCTACGCTGGGTTGTTAATTTCCTTTGGAAACTTGAAAGTGAKAGCACTCCTTCTTGGGGACTTTATCGTTCCTGCTTTTCACTCATGCCGTCCCTCAGCAGACTCCAGGGCTGCACTGCTCCTTGCGTGGTGACCTCAGTACTCTTTGACATCCAGCCCTCTGCTTCCTCACTGCAGCTGCCTCTTCTTGGACACGGAAATGTCACACTGGAGCTCTTGGGGCTGCAGAGCGATGGCCGCTGAGGGCTTTGCTGGTACCTCCTCGTGTCCTCAGAGTGAGCAGGGTCTGTGAGCAGGAAGGAGCCCTGAGTGTGCACTTGACACTGTGCCTTGACAGCTTTCCCAGGCCTCTGCCAGCCCGTCTCCRTCGCTGGCCTCTTCTGAACCACTTTCATTTACTGCGTGTTGGGATTTGGCCTTTCCTAGTCCATAATCTGGTATTTCCGGTCTTCTATTTGTGGGGGTGAGGTCCAGGCAGCAGGTCTGCACTCGTCCTCAGTGCCCTCTGCCCTCCCTGTGTCTGGTTGTTAGCTTAGATTATTTTCCTAACTTCCCCCAGCCTCCTGTGACCTTGCTCTCCACCCTGGTGACCCCTCAAGGTAGTTAAATGAGGTTTGGTTTTCTCTGTGAATTCAATGTGTCGTCTCTATTTGAAATGTTCCTGAACCCCTGGTGCTGTATTTTGGCAAAATATTTGGAGAATTTAAAACCTATCCATTAAAACCCAGAGTTTTCTTTATGAGGGGGTGGGCTGATTGAATTAGGCGACTCTCAGTAGGCGTTCTTCCTGGAGGAAGTGGCTGCTGGTGGTTTTGCTCTCTGTACCTGGGACAGTTCTTGCTGATTGGTTTGGGGTCCCTGTGTGGTGGGCTCTTTTGCCTGCTTCAGACTTCCCACCTCTGGGCGTAGACAGGGACCTTTCGTGCTGTTTAATGTGTTGGTGGTCCTCAGGTCTGAGAAAGTGGTGTGTCCCCGAGTCCTCTCCCTACATGACACCCACCCGCATCTGTGTTGCCTTTGATGCTGTGTTCACTTGCATCCTGGGTCCCCGAAATAGCTGTGGTTGTCACCTCCCATGCAGCAGCAGCTTTGGGGACCCTGCACTTCCCACCTTACTCTAGGGGTGACACCTGTGTCCTGGCTCAGAATTCAGCAGTCTCTTCAGTTCTTCCCCGCCAAGGACACCCTGAAGTGTGGTTTCTGTGAGTTCCTTTTAGAATCACCTTCACTGAGGCATGATTTACGTCCTCAGGCTGCAGCTGCTGTAGGAGCAGCGTTCGAAGCATGGAGAAGCTGTGTGTCCACTCCCGTCCTCTCTGCAGCGCAGCAGTGGAGGGTCAAGGTCTCCAAACCCTGGGATCCCTCTTTGGCTCCCACACTTATTCATGTGTCACCTCCAGAAATGCAGTGGCCTCCAGGAGGGTGGACAGGAGCCCTGCTCTCCTTTCCCCTGGGATTGCTCTGGGACTCGTCCCTGAGTGGCAGGTGTCTTCCTCCTCCCTCTCCTTGATGTGAAGGGCCTCTGTGGCCAGGGCTGGTTCCTTGTAGCAGTGTGGAGGGTTCTCCAGCAGGAGCCAGTTCCTCCCCCAGGAGGCAGACAGGTGCCTTCTTCACCCATGTCCTGGGACTTGGTGTCTGTCCAGGTCTGGTTCCACGGAGAGGGCAAGTGGAGGTGCCCGTGGGAGAAGGAAAGGTGGCAGACTGGCAGGGTAGCAGGGCCAGAGCTGCCCGTGGCCTCCTCCCAGCTGCGCTTGTCCTCAGGCTCCAGCCCCTGGGCCCTGTCCCCTTCTCTGCCTGTGTGCCCAAATGCTCATCCTGCAGGGTGCTGGGTGTCTGCCTCTGTGTCTCTTGTATGCAGGTCCATCTCTCTGCAATGCTTGTGCCCTGCCCTCTCCCAGCTGGAAGTCAGAGTATTGTCTCAAAATACACTGGCAGGGTGTCCCTGCCTCCTCCTGATCCTCCCTGAGCCCCTTCCAGGTACCTTGGGGGTTCCCCCCTCCTGGGTTCCTGCCTCTCCAGCCGCCTCTGCTGTGCTCYTGAGTGCCTGCTTTCACTGGAGAAACCCTCCTATGAAAATCCGAGTTAATCTTACAAGAACTCACTGCTGAACTTGGTAGTGAGGAAGCCTGCTTCCTGTTGATAGATAATAAGACAGAGTGGAATAATTTGAATTCTTTATAATGGATGTGATTATAAATGATTTCCCTATTTACTCGTATAAAGGGCTAAGTGGAAGATGATTAGTGAGTTCTGTTTTCTGTTTTTCCTAAGGTGGTTTCTTAATCTTCCCAACAAATTCCTGTGATACAGAGAAGAAAAAGAAAAATCCATTAGAAGTAACTTAAAACCTTTAAGAAGCTGTTTAGAGCTTTGAAGCGGAGGCCTCTTTCTGTCCCTGGAGTACGTTGTGGCACAGGAGAGGAATCCGCTTACCCAGGCCTGGGCTGCGTGTGGGTTCCGGGGCCTGCGCTGCCGGGTGTATCTGGCCCAGAGCTTCTGCCAACGCCTGTCAAATACTGTGACGGATTTTCACATTTGAAGTATTTATAATTTCCTATCTTTTTGCTCTATTACTCCTAAAAAATTAGTGTTGTTAAGGGTCCAAATCCTTCTAAATCCCATTAGGTAATATTGTTCTGTAATTTGGTGATTAAAGATGCTATTTTTTTTACTTTGTTTATCCTTAAATCCTTCACCCAGTAATCTCCTGTCCATGACTGTGGGTATCTCAGGACTTACAATGAACAAATCCTTAGTTGGCGAGTGACTGCTGAACATTGCAATAAGTAAGGTGACATAAGCCATTTTAGCCAAATATGGGCTTATTCTCCATGCGGCTGGTTTTGGCTTCTAAGTGCCACCTTGAGTCATCTCTGACCTTGCTTTTGTCACGTAAGGACATCTGTTCTGTTAAGTAAGGACATCTGTCGGTCCCCAGCTAGCCCAGGGTTCTCTCTGGTGGTGTGGTGGAAGGCGCTGGCCCTGGGTGGACTCTGGGCAGTACCTGGGTGGGGCTGCCCGTGCGGAGTCCAGACACTTCTCTTTGTAGCCCACAGAGGAAAACACCGTCATGTCCCTGTGAGGGCAGCGCCCCACCCACAGGCAGGATGGCTTCCTGGGGGAGAGGAGAGGCCGTTGGCAGGTTCCTGGGTCAGGTATTCACCAGAACAAATTGCAAGTTTGTGTTTCAGGACAATCAGTACAAGTGGGCCGTATCTTCTTAATGAACTTCCGTGACGAATTGCGAGTTCAAGGGACAGGGTCCTACGTGTGTTTGAAAGCACGTCTTCCCCTCATGATGTCCCCTGGCTGCCCTGCCCGCATCCCACAGGGTCATACAGAACTTGGACAGGTGGGGAAGAGGGCCAAGGGGTGGGGACCACCTTCTGAAACAGAGTCGTCCTGAGGTGTGGCCTCCTGGAGGCTGGGGCTCCGGAGGGAGTCGCTCCACTGAGGCCGCTTCAGCCTGGGTTGGGATGAAGGAGAACCCCTCTGCTCTTCCCTTTCTGGCCTGTGTGTGGCCTTGAAATCCCTGTCTGCCTTTTGGCCCTGGTCTACCCAGAGCTGGATTCTTCCCCTTCCTGCCACCTGGGGCTGCTGAGGGGAGCCCTGGGCTTGCAGGGTGGGGAGGTCTGGGGTTAAGGATCCTCTTCCCTGTGTCCTCTCTGTTGTAGGCTCCTGGATCTTCTGCACACTGCTAGTAGGCCTTCATGAGACAAAAATATTAAAAACAAATCGCCATCAACCCAAATGGGTTCACCATGAAGTTCTTAGCCTCTGTATGTGTCAGACAGCGTTAGAGCCACGGACTCTATCAGTGGGCAGGTGGGAGGCACTCAAGGAAGCCAAGTGTCTGTTGTAGTCAGGGCTGAAAGACAATGGAGAGCTGCGTTATCCACCAAAATAAAACACAGATGTCAGCTCTGATTACTGTTATTGTTACCTTGTTTAAGAAAGACCTCCTGACCCAAAGTCCGGGAGACCTGACCTCTTAGTAGGGAGCAGATCCAAAGCTTAAAAGCTTTGGTTTGCTATGAAATGACTTTTCCTAGTTCACTCCAACCAGGTCTGCACCTGGCGCTGGTGGTTGGTCCTGGTTGCCCACAGGTGTCTGGGGTGTGTGACCTCAGATGACCCCTGCCCAGCAGCTGCTTGCCAGTCCCTAAACCCCACCTGTGGATGCTGAGCTTTTGAAATGCTTCAGAAAGCCCTTTGGTGATTTTGTTCGTATAGTCATTCAACAGTGTCCTCGGCTTCACTTAAAGCCAGGTGCTACGGGAAGTGTGCCGGGGGGGGGGTGGGTGCAGGAAGATTGGAGTCTGGGGGCGGGGAAGGGGGGGACCTAGTGAAGAGGTGCAGAAGGGACCAGTGAGGGGCCACAGGCCCTGCCCGGCTCAGGCCTGGATGGTGCTAGGCTGGAGGAAACTGCCCTGCAGGTCCCACCACCCCGACCTGGAAGTGTCCCCGACTTGGTCCTCACTGGCGTGGACACCCGAGTCTCCCTGGATTCCTCCTCAAAGGTTCAGCTGCCTTCTCTTTGCTTCCGAATAACATTTTTCTCATTACTTGAAAAATATCAAGCAAACAAACAAAAGTACCCCAGCGTATCTGCCTGAAACCTCYGTGTTGGTTGGGCATGACTTCAGAAGGTAACCGGCAGAATGAATAAAAAAGAAGCAAGGAAATTTAGCATATATTTGGCATTTCCCTGCCGGCGTGAACACAATTGTTGGATGTCATTTTAAATAAGCCTTTTAAAGGTCACTTTAAAAATAGAATAATTGGCTTCGTTGTAGAGATCATGAAAATGTACCTAACAGATAAATTAAAAAAAAGAAAACAGCTACTGCTAATATTGTGAAAGTGGATACTTGTGGTTTTGGAAGCATCTTCCTGTGGCTCCTAAAAAGTGCCATATCTTAAGCCTTGTAGGTTGGGGTAACTGGATGACCAGTGGGTTTTGGTGCTGATGCAGATGCTGATTTCAAGGACACATGGGAAACGTTAATATAAAATAGCTTCATGAGATGGGAGAATGCACACAAATACTTCTGAGTTAATATCTATGCACTATGAGTCTCAGCTAGATGGAAATGCATAGTTAAATTAATAATTATTCTAAGTAGACACTTGGCTTTTGTCTGCTCCATACAGGTGTATATATTACATGGGAGATTGCCAAAATGTCAAATTCTCATTACCTCCAGGGTCACTTCACTCAGGGGGACTAAAGCATTTCCATGAGCTGAGTGGGTGGGAGTGAATGTGTGATATCGGCTGCCAGAGGCCTTACAGAAGGTGAAGAACACGGTCAGGCTTGTGGGGAAAGAAGACGACTCTGCAGCTCAGCGTTTGCTAAGTGTCTTACTGAACATTTGCCCAAACGAGGGCCTTTGTTCACAGTACCTGTGCACTAGATCCAAACTGTGCTTGCCAGAGTGAGGGGACTTGGAAATGGGCTGGTATGGTGACATCCCCTTCTCAGGTGGGTGCCAGGTTCTCCCATGGCTAGAGCATCAGATTGGAAGATCCTCGCGTTGTGACGCTGAACCTGCATTGACCGAGTTGGAGAAATCCAGACCCTGACCGTGGTGCTCATGGGGGCAGCGGAGGGGAGCAGGGTTGCTCTGCGGGCTCACCTTGCGTAGCATAATTGCGTAGAGGTTGGTCCTTGGAACTTTCAGGGTTGACTGTGGTCCAGGGGTTCTCTGAGCCATCCTGGTTTCTCACTTGTCCAGAAACCAGCCAAGGGTTTGCTGGAACTGGGGTGGGGATGGGGACCTTCTCATGTGAGGACACCTGCCGGGAGTTAGTGCCTTTTCCTGGGTTTGGATTGTAGCCAAGCCTGTGCCAACTTCCTCTGACGGAATGTAGGCTTTCCAGAGCCAAGCACTGCATCATTTAGGGCCATCTACATAAAGCTGAACCAAAATAATGTTGGTGTTAGTCATTAAATAGATCCAAGATGCTCTGGTTTCAAATCCTCATCTTGGAAATAAACGCAGAATCTTATCCCAAGCCTTCTCCTCCATGGGGTTATTTTTATTGTGTTTGTCAAATTCGAGACCTTGCAAGATCCAGGGCTGATTTATTTAATTTTCTCTGATGGTCATGTCATTTTAATTTCCAATAAATGTGATTATTTTCTTGCTATTGCTTTTGTATTTAATTTCAAAGTTTTCTCTGATTTGCTCTAAATCATCCTTTACAATCACAAAGTGAAAAAGCTACCAGGGTTTCTCTTCTGATGCCGGCAATTATAAGTGCAATCGTAAAATTTACTCCAAATTTTATTTGACYTAATAACTGGTTAGCTGCCACCACAGGCCTCCTAGTTGTCATCATCTATGTTCAGACTCCGTGTGAGAATCACCGAATGCCAGAGACTCATGAATTGGATGGCTTTGGTCCTTTTCACTCTGTGTTGCACTGTTTACCATCCTTCCAAAATGTTCCTCCTTTTCTCCAGTCAATTTTGGAAGCACGATGTTCTTCTAGAGCAAAACACCCCCACCCAGTTATAAACAGGGTAAATGACCACTCAGGAATATTAAACGCTATTAAACTGACGAGCGGTTCCATGCACCATAGGAAACCCAGGAATTGTTTCTAGTTTTTCCTGACTTACTTTGTCTTTGAATGAACTCTTGTTAGGATTGAAATTAATCCATCGCTTCTGTTACTGTATCTGAAAATAACAACGATTACGGTGGTGCTTTCCCAATAACTTTTGGTTGTTTGAATTGTATATTGGAAGAGGAAGTATGTTTTCTTTCTTTTAGTGTTACCCAGAAAAATGAACTAGAAGCCAGGTTCTGGGAGAAGTCCAATTATATTCTTTTATGTTGACTTTTCTGTGATTCTCACATTTAATTGTATCCCTTTTCGGAGGCACTCGGTCTGAAAGAGAAAGAATTCTGGGATTATAGCATACCCTGTGGCTACACCTACTTGGGAGGTCAAAACATTTATTATTTATTTATTTATTCATTTTTGTGCTGGGAATTGAACCCAGGGGTGCCTAACCCCTGAGCCATATCCTTAGCCTTTTCCCATTTAGCCTTTTCCTTTTTGTTTTGTTTTTCAGTGTAGAGTCAGGGTCTCGCTGAATTTCTTAGAGCCTCACTAAGTGGCTAAGGCTGGCTTTGCACTTGCAATCATCCTGCCTTAGCCTCTGGAGCCACTGGGATCACAGGAGTATGCTGCTGCGCCTGACTGGTCAAAACTTTAAAGGAAAAAGGAAAAGCCCTGAATTTGGATAATTACTTTCATGGGTGTCCCCGGCCAGGCTGAGTAGTCTCTTTATGGAGTGCA